CATCCCCCCATCCCCCTATCCATCCCCCCATCCATCCATCCACCCACCACACCAGCTCCGGACTGGAGATTTGGGTATCTCTCAAACTCCTGAATCTTAGGGTCACTTCCCAAATCATCGAGACTGGGAGAATGGATGTAGAGAGGGACCTTAAAGTCTCACTGGTTTAATTCCCAACTACTTAAGCTGAGGCAGAACAATCACATGTATAAACTGAGCAATTTAGAAGAACCTGTCTTAAACAAAAACACCCAAACAAACAAACAAACAAAACAGAAAAAGGGGGAAGATAGGGATCAGGTCGCAGGCCCTGGTTCGATCCAGAGCACCGCAGGAATAAAACCAAACGAGGGAGGGAGGGAGGGGCGGGCAGGCGAGGGGAGAGCGGTCAGCAGCGCTGCTTTCCCGGTAGCTTCGTCGCCGCCGCCGCCGCAGGGTCCTGCTGCTACTTCCCAGCCGGCGCGGCCACCTGGCTGCAGTTCACCGACCAGGACGGGGTTCCGGTGCGCAGCAACGTCACGCTCTGGGTGGAGTCCCGGGTGGACAACCGGACGGCGCGGTCGCCAGAGGTCACGCTGCTGCTAAACAAGTGGGGTCAGCACCCTCCCAGCGCGGTCCGCGGGCCTCCCCTTCCCTCTCCCAGCGCCGCTGAACGGGCTGCCAAGGCCGCGGAGTGGGAGGCAGAGTGGGGAGCGCAAGCCCTAGGAACGCGTGGCCCAGCTGAGGGAGCCCCACCTTCGCCAGGAAATATATGGGCACCGGAAACACAATTGCTTTGTTTATTTTTAGATTTATTTTTTATTTTTAAAATTTATTTATTTGGTATAGGGTCTCAGTACGCAGCTCAGAGTCGTAGTGATCCTCCTGTCTCAGCCTCCCCAGAGCTGGGATTGCAGGCATGCACCACCTCGACCAACCAGACTCAGTGGCCGGCTCAGTGTGGGCGGTTCAGTGCCCCCGGGGTTCCAGGGCCGGCACCACTGGGGATCTAACCGCCAAGCCATTTCCGCAGCCCCTATTCTTTATTATTTTGAGCCAGAGTCTCCCTATGTGACTTAGACTGGTCTTGAACTTGTGGAGATTCTGCTGTTTCAGCCTCCCAAGTGCTGGGATGACAGGTTTGCCCCACCATGTCCAGCTTGCACGACAATTGCTGTATTTTTCTTGAGACCTGGGATGGAACCCAGGGCCGCACATGTGCTGGGCAGCACCACTTGCAGCCCCTAATACAGTGGAAAAAAAACTAGGGTGGGGCCTAGGTGGCACACACCTGTAATGTCAGCACTGGGGAGGCTGAGGCAGGAAAATTCCTGCGAGTTTGAGGCCAACCTGGGCTCTCTAGGGAGTTCAAGGCCAGCCCAAACCACATAATAAGACTTTGTCTCAAGAAATCCTAAATTGATGTCCCCCTAAAAAATCCATGGGCATGGGGCCAGGGAGATGGCTCAGTAGAATACGTGCTTGCCTGACAAGCACAAGGGCCTGAGTTCAATACCCAGTTCTGCCAAAATATAAATAAATAAATAAATAGAAAAAGAAAAAAAAAATCCATGGACAGCAAAATATTGAGAAGGTACATGCCTATGATTCCTGCTACTCTGGAGGCTGAGGCAGGAGGATCACAAGTTCAATCCAACCCAGGGAATGTGGTGAGACCCTGTCTCAAAATAAAAATTTAAAAAGGGCTGGGGCGTGGTTCAGCACCACAGTGATTGTCCAGCATGCGTGGGCCCTGCGTGCCACCCCTGGATGGGGGAGGAGATAGGGACAGGGCAGCCCAAGGCGACACAGGGCAGGTACACAGCACAAGGGAGTCTAGGGACCTGCTGAGATGCGGTCCGCTCCCTGCGCAAGGCAGTGAGCGCGGGAGGTGGTGGCTCAGGTCATCCCTTCCTAGACTAGGTGTTTTGCTGTCGCTGTTGATAAGCCCAGAGAGGAGTCACACCATGCACTCCACACGACAGGGAGGAGCAGGACGGGACCCGGTGTGGCGCGGCCGAGGTGCAGCCGGTTATTCACGGCTCTTGCTGGGCAGGCTCCTTGCAACAGCTCTAGCTTAGCTTTGCAAAGCGTAGAGTCAGTTACCCCGGCCGGCCGCGGCTTGCCAGCGCCCTGGTCTCGCTCGCTGCAGCTCTTCTGGACGCCCAGATTGACCTTACAAAGGCATCTACACTACCAGGCTGCTGTGTGTAAATCCCCTCTCCCTTGACATTTTTTTCCCCATAAGTACTGGTGACAGGATGCTGCACCTTCACACTGAGCTACATCCCTTATTTTATTTTATTTTATTTTATTTTGAGACAAGGCTTTGCTAAATTGCCCGGGTTGGGATTGAAAAGTGAGACCCCCCCCCAAGTGTCCTCCCAAGCGGCTGGGGTCAGTCACGCTGTGCCCTGGCACCCTGGACTGTTGGATCGGTCTCGGCTCAGCCGGAGGGACGAGGGGTCCCAGCTCTCGTGTGGGCGGGATTCCCAGCTGCCCCCCCCCCGCGCCCCTTCTTCCTCCAGTGAGATATGACGCCCCTCCAAAAGCCCTCAGGACGTCCCTGTCGCGTGGGCTGCTGAGCCTGGTGTGGGAGGCCCCAGAGGACAGCGCCCAGCTGCAGCTCCGCCGCCGCTCGCCCCGCCGCCGCTCGTGGGAGCTGGTGAGTTTGTTTTCCAGACCACAGGGGCGCAGACGGGGGGGGCGGGGGGCATCTGTACCCGCCCCGGCTGGCCTCCTCGCCCCGCGTGCAGCCCCCAGGCCCTGGGACACGGCTGGGCCTCGACCGGTCACGAACCCTCTGTGGCTCCCTGCTACCCACGGCTGCAGCCATTCCTCCACCTCGCGCTGCCCCTGACCACACGTCCCCATGCCCTGTGTCCCCCACTCCTGGCTTCGATACTCTCAGATTCCAGCTCGGGGCCCCCCACTTTCAGGCGGCTGCTCAGACGCCCCAGCCTGCGCAGCCTGTTTCCTTAGAAGGCACAGGCTGAGACGTCAGGGGCTGGTGACGCGGGACAGTACGAGGCTGCAGCCCGGCCTGTGCGCCTTGGAGACTCAGCGAGACCCTGAGTCGGATAGAGAGTACACCGCTGGTGGCTGCTTGGTGCAGAGCCCTGGCTCCCATCCAGGGCTGCAGAAAAGAGGAGATGGAAAGGTTTCTGCTTTTTTTTTTTTTGTAATTTTAAAATTTTATTCTTTTGATATAGAGTCTCCAACTGCAGCTGGGACTGTAGTGACTCTTCTAGCTCAGCCTTCCCGGGGCTGGGATTAGAGTGCACCACTGTGCCCGCCATGGCGTGCAGTACTGGGGATTGAGCTCAGGACCTTGCGCTTGCCAGGCAGGCACTGAGACCACCGAGCTACCTCCCAGCCACCCCAGCATTTTTTATTTGTTTGTTTGTTTGTTTGCGACAGGGTTTTGCCACGCAGCCCAGGCTAGCCCTTGTAGCCCAAGCTGCTCTCCAACTCACGGCAATCCTCCTGCCACAGCCTCCTAAGTGCTGGGATTACAGACGTGCACCACAATGCCTCGCAAGAAAAGATGGAACGGAAGGAAGAAAGTGGCTGATTTTTCACACCCCTGCATGTGTTACAGACGAATGTGGTCTCTTTCCAGGGTGACTGTGAACCGCAGGATGAGCCCGGTTTAGGTGACAGCAGCCACTCCAGTAAGCGCCCCTGGAAGACAGACCGTTTACCTGGCCGGGTCCTTGCAGGCCTCAGCTGCCTGCTGCGTGGGGTGGGAGCTTTTGAGGCACCTCCATCCCACCTCTTCACCCATAACCCTGCCAGCCTGAGCCCAGGGTGGCATCATCCTGGGGTTCATGGCTCAGGCAGTGTGCACGGCTGGTGCCCACTCAGCTCAGGCCTGCCGCCGGCCCCTACCACAGAGTCCTGCCTGTGTCCACTGGAGGCGGACATGGCCCAGGAGTTCCAGTTCCGGTGGCGGCGGCGGCTCCAGTCTGGGGTCCCAGGAGGCCCCTGGAGCGACTGGAGCAGCTCAGAGTGCATCCCCCCTGGTGAGTGGTGGCGAGGTGGCCAGGGCCACAGGGACCGACCCAAGGCATGGGGCAAGTCCCACTGTGTTTCTTCCTGTCTCACTGGGGTCACTGTTCACAGCACCCTATGTGGCTGGTCCCTGCCCTGTCTGAGTCTGTCTGTCTCTTGCAGAAAGCCTCCCACAGCCTGAGGTGAAGCTGGAGGTGGCGGAGCTGGGTCAGAATGGGCGGCGCCGGCTGACCGTGCATGGGCAGGTGATGGGCACTGGGTGTTGGGTGCTGGGCTGGGTGGGGAATGGGGCCCACAGAGTATGTGTGAGCAGAAATGGGGTGCTAAGCTCCCCCATCCCTGTGCAATGGATTGTGGGGGAAGAGAAAGAAGTCAGAAGCCAAGCCAGGTGTGGTGGTGCACACCTGTGAACACCTGTGATACCAGACCTCTGGAGGCCGAGGCAGGATGATCGCTGTGAGTTCAAGACCAGCCTGGGCCACAAAGTGAGCTCCAAGCCAGCTTGAACTGCATAGCAAGACCCTGTCTCAGAAAGACAATAAATAAATAAGAAGTCAAGGGGCTGGGGAGATGGCTCATTGAAATAAGCACTGCCCTGGCAAGAGCAAGGGCCTGAGGTCAATCCCCAGTTCTGAAAAAAAAAAAAAAAAAAAAGAAGTCAAAAGCCAGGAAGGAGATGCTTGGCCCCAGGTGGAAAGTCCCCAAGGGACTCAGCAGCTGGAGTCTAATGAGCCCTGGTTTAAAGAGAGGGAAACTGAGGCACAGGAGGGTGCCTCTTTTAGGGGCAAAACTGTCAAATTCTCTCCCTTTTTAAAATTGAACCTCCTTCTAAGACAAGTTCATACTGGGTGTGGTCATTGCATGCTTGTCATCCTGCACTCGGGAGGCTGAGGCAGGAGGATCACCTCAAGTTCAAGGCCAGCCTAGGCTATTTAGTGAACCCCTGTCTCAAAAAACCCAAACAAACAAGAACTGCAGTTCATCTTCTCGTAATTCTGGGCTTTCGTAACTGGCTCCGAAATTCTTTCGTTGGATCTCTGGGTTTTGTTCGTTTTCCCCCAAACTGACAGGGCCCGGAGGCCACGTTCTGGATGCGTGTACCCCTTTCCCTGCAGTTGCCGCAGCCTGAGCTCCCTGAGGGCTGTCTGGGGGTCACACCTGGCGCCAAGGTCACCTATCTCCTGCGACTGCACATGCGGTCCTGTCCCTGCCAGGCCAAGGCCACAAGGATCATGTGCCTGGGGAAACGTGAGCTCTTCCTCTCTGGTGGTGCCTACGACGTGGCTGTTGTCACCCGCACCCGCCTGGGCCGTGGCCCCAACCAGACATGGCACATTCCTGCTGTGCCCACCACCACCCATGCAGGTGCCTCTTGGGGCAGCGGGCGGGGCCTCATCTTGGTTAGGGTCACAAGTTCAGTGATCACTCAGAGGGGACCTGGACGAGATCCTAACTCTCAGGAGGCTGAGGCAGGAGGATCTCAATTTGTGTTTAGTCTGGACTCTACAGAAAGCCTGTCTCAAAAAAGAAAAAAAAAAAAGACATTGTTTCCTTCTCTGTCCCTCCCTCCCTCCTTCCTTCCCTCCCTCCCTTCTTTCCTTCCTTCTTTGCCGCTTTCCTTTCAGACAGGGTCTCACTGTGTAGTCCAGGCTGGCCTTGAACTCACAGCAATCCTTCTGCCTCAGCCTCCCACGTGCTGGGATTGCAGGCAGGTGCCACCACGCCCAACTCTGGTGGCAGGGGCAGTTGGGTGTCAGTGCACAGACGCTCTGCATTGGAGGCCCTGTTGTGGACTGGATCTGGCAGGGAAGGGATGACAGAGGGTGGGGACTGTGTGCGCAGGCCAAGGCGGCTGTCCCAGGTGACTGTCCTGTGTCCCCAGGTCCTGGGGCCCTGAATGTCAGCGCAGGGGTTGACGGGACAGGAGTGCACTGGGAGGTGCGAGCCCAGGGTGTGACCCACTGCGTGGAGTGGCGGCTGCATGGCCAGGACACAGCCCCCAACTGCTCACTGCAGCCACCACGGGATCCAGGACCAGCAGGAGCAGGTTCGGTGCAGGAGGGTGCAGTCTCCACCTCTGCCCCACATCCTAGGCCTCCAGGGTCAGCTGGGCGGGTGTGTGGGGCCAAGGAGCTGTCACCACATCCCCAGGCTGCCCAAGGCCCACAGCAGCATTGTGGGTGACAAATCACACATCCCTGGGTTTGCAAACACTTACCCTGCAGCGAGGTGGTGTTTAGCAAGGTGCTGGGGACACCGTAATGATGCCTGGGGTGGAGGGGTGGTGTGGCCCATGCAGCCCTTGCTGTCCTCCTGCTCTGGGCCTGACTGGAGGCCCAAAGAAGCCAAAGCTTCAGCCTGGGCCACACAGAACCTCTGGCCTGAGTGAACAGAGCTGGGTACAGCCAGCACAGACTCCAAGGAACAGATGAAGACACACTGAGAAAGGGCATCTGGAAGTGATCCTCTAGGAAGGGGCATTGGTGCAAGGGCTTTGAAGCATGAGTAAGAGTTTTCTAGAACTTTCTAGCAGATGGTGAGGCCAGTGCATGGGTCCAGAGGTCAGAATTCAGGTGGAGTTGGTGGCTGAACCCTTGTCCTCCTCCCAGTGACTCACAGCTGGAGCCCAGCCCCAGGAATGGTGGGACAGGACCTGTGTTACCACGTCACCATCCTCGCCTCTGTGCACCCTGAGAGGCCCACAGCGTGGTGGACTGTACTGTCCACCTACCACTTTGGGGGCAATGGTGAGTGGGCCTAGTGTCAGGGGAGGGCAGAGACCTTGGCTAGAAGCTGGACATGTGGACATTGGCTCACAGTGGGCGCTGAAGACCCTGTGAGTGGTGTCACTCATTTTACAGATGGGGAAACTGAGGCCCGGAGTCAGGAGGGCCGATAGGCTCATGGTTCGCACTGGCAGGGCATGCACAAGGCTTGCCACCTGGGGTGCTGACATGAACTTTACGCCATTGTAGCCTCAGTGGCTGGGACCCCACCGCAGGTGTGGGTGCAGAACCAGAGCGAGCGCTCGGTGGCCGTGGCCTGGGCCCCATCGGCACTGCGCAGCTGCCCCGGTGTCCTGAAGGCCTACGTGGTGTGCTGCGGAGAGGACGGGGGCCGCACGGCAGGTGTGTGACCCTGCGCCCGCCCAGGGCCTCGGCCTCCCCACCCTTCACATAAGAGAACTGGGCCCGACGCGAGGGTGCATGCCCGTAGCCTCGCACGTGGGGGGCTGAGGCAGGGGGACTGCACGTCACTGCCACCATTCTCTCTGAGTTTGATCTCCAGTACTGAAAAAACAAATCACTTCCCACAGAGAGACTTGTGTCACCCACCGAGACCCAAGTCACCCTCCAGGACCTGCAGCCCGGCGCCACCTACACGGTGCAGGTGCGCGCAGACACGGCCTGGCTGCAGGGTGCCTGGAGCCTGCCCCAGCGCTTCAGCCTTGGTGAGCCCCCTCCCTGGGCTCCTTTCCTCCTGGGGCAACCCACTGTCCTGGGAGAAAATACCAGCTAGACTTGCAGCTGCCTCATGGCAGGCTACTGGGAAAGAGATAAGGCAGCACACAGCTACTTGGAAAGTTTATTTTCCTGTTGTTAAACTCTTGTTCATCCTTCAAAACCCAACCCAAATCTCTCTCCTCTACAAAGGTTTCTTTACCTACCTCTAATCAATAACCAATCAACTGACATCAGGGTCTGGGAGTCTCTATCAGGTTCCTTCCACCTCCAGCCCAAGGGCTTCTGGGAGGGAGGAGGCAAGAGCAGGGGGCTGTCCTCCTGTGCCCAGCCTCCCAGCTGCCCACCTATCCAGGCTTTCCCACCCCAGCCCCGCAGGAGTCCCACGTGTCCGTCCTGTCTGCGTCTGTGGGAAGCTTTGTGACCATCCTCCTGCTGGGTGCCCTGGGGTACCTCGGCCTGAGCAGGTAACGAGCCCCCTCCCAGGTCCAGGAAGCCACATGTGCCCCTTTTCAGAAGAAGAAAATGAGGTCGGGAACAAGGGGGTTGCCCAGCAGAGAGGGCAGGTGTGAGATGTGAACCCAAAAACCCACATCCCCTTACTTGGATAACCTTATGGTGGTGAGCCCCAACGCACGGGAGGCTGAGGCAGAAGGATCTCGGCGAGTTCAAGGCCAGCCTGCGTTACATAGCGAAAGCGTGTCTCAAACAACAACAACAACAACAAACAAGCAAAAAAAAAAAAAAAAAAAAAACCAAACAAACCAAAAAAACAAAAAAACCCCCAAAACCTAATGGTGATGAAAAAATCTAAGGGAGAGCCATGAAACAGGAGGCAGAGGCTGGCAGCTCCTCCTCTGACCTGACCTTTCGTCCCTAGGGCCACTAGACACTTGTGTCCGCCTCTACCCACGCCTTGTGCCAGTGCTGCAGTGACCTTCGAGGACAGCCAAGGGAGGCAGGTAAATCTTCCCTTTCAAACAGCAGCTTGTTTGTTGTTGTTTTGAGGTAAGGGTCTTGCTATGTAGCATAGGCTGGCTGCAAACTCACAGCGAACCTCCTGCCTCAGCCTCCCTGCTTTGGTAGAGCTGGACCCAGGCAGCCTCAAGCTTTCCTCTGGGGATACAGGGTTTCCCCACTGACTGGCAATAGTCTCAAGGCCATCACTGATTGGTCTAACTTAGCTCACATGTGTATGTATGACCCAATGGCTTAAGCGGGGACCAGTAACGCTGATTGGGTGTCCCTGGGTCATGTGCCCTATACGGGCGTGGCCATCTGTCCCAACTATAAAAGGAGGACTGTGCAGGGAGACAGGTGCTGGTGGGGTGGGATGGAAGGAGATTCCTGAAGACCCAGCCCCCTCCATCCTGGCTCCGCCTCCGGCTTTGGCCCCGCCTCTCTGCCCCACAGTGCGTGTGGACCAGCCCAGTGGACTTCGCGGAGGAGGAGACCTCCCCGCCAGAGACGTTGGTGGTGGAGATGTGCCAGGACAGAGACGAAGGACCAAGGACGGAGCCGCCCCGGGACCTTCGGCTGGCCCTGCAGGACCAGAGATGTGCCCACTCCCCCAGGGCCCCGCTGCTCCTGGGGGACCTGAGTCGTCGAGGGACTGGAGGCCCGTGGTGGGCCTGCGGGCCTGGGGACGAAGCGCCAGCGTCGCGCTGCGGTCCTGGGGCCGGCGATTAGGCTCTCGGGATGCCCAGGGCAGGACGCGGACAAGCCCGGGCCCCGCCGCCCAGCAAGCCCGCTGTCCTGGGTGGTTCGGGTACCTGCGTTGAGGTCGTGTCCCAGGCGCCAGCCTCAGTCTCCCCCTGTGGAATGCAGGCCTGAGCTGCCGCCGGCGGGGACCCTTCATAAACCGGCCTCAACGTCCCCTTCCGGACGCCCCCACACTCCACAAGCCCCGGCGGCGCCGGGCCCGCGCGGCCGTTGTCCCCGCTGCGACCACCAGGGGGTGCCCGTGCTCCTGCGCCCCCTCTGCCGCCCCAGTTTGCAAAACGCGCTTTTCCGGTTTCAGAGCTGGGCAGAGGCGAAAGCGGGGACCGCCGCAGTTTAGGGCAGAAGGGTGGGGCGCAGGCGAGGGGCGTGTTGGCGGCTTGTGGGGCCGCGAGACGAGAGGCCCGGGGCCGGCAGCTCGGAAGCCTCGGTTTCCCCAAAGGAGACTGGTCGATGAGGCCACAGATCGCCAAGGCGCTCGTATTGTACCGACTAGGGAGACGCACGCCGGCTTCCTAGAGGCTGGGCGCTTGTGGGAGCCTCTTTCTCTAGGAGACAGGCCTGCAAGGACCCCGGAAACAGCCGCAGGGTTAGTCACCTGGGTACAGCTAGGCCTGAAGACAGACCTTTGCATCCACCCCGCCCGCCCCTCCCCCTCCCCCTGCCCCGCCGCAGGCTGCATTAA